GGTTTACCCAATGAGCAGTGTAGGTGATATACCTGCCCTGACCATGCTTTGCAGACCAGGTATCAGTGGTCAAATGGACCCTTGCCCCAACACTGTGTGCCAGAGATGCTATTACTTACTTTTGCACAATTGAGTACAGGTTGGGGATTGCCTTTTGCGAAAAGTAATTTCGGCCGGGTACCTTCCACTGCGGTGTCCCAATAGCTACAAATTTTTTGAACGCCTCAGACTCCACCAGCTTGTATGGTAAAAGCTGGCGGGTTAATAGTTCGGACAAGCCAGCGGTCAGACGCTGGGCAAGGGAGTGACTTTCTGACATTGTCTTCTTACGCTCAAACATGTCCTTGACAGACACATGACTGTGGGAAGATGAGCGTGAACTGCTCAAGGCGGGAGGCTGAGTGGCGGATGGTTGAGAGGGGACAAGGAGGACAGCAGTGGTTGACGTGGCTGAAGATGCTGGACCAGGAGGAGGCTGGCGGCTTAGAGTAGGCGAGCTGCTTGTACTCATGTGTTGATCCCATAGGCGTCTGTGATGTGAGATCATGTGCCTACGCAAAGCAGTTGTACCTAGGTGGGTGTTGGACTTCCCACGACTCAGTTTCTTTGGCACAGGTTGCAAATGGCATCGCTGTTGTCAGAGGCAGACACACAAAAAAAATTCCACACTGCTGAGCTCTGCAATGACGGCATTCTGGTGGTGGACACAGCATGTGTTTTTTTTTTAAATCCAAGCAATTGTGACACCAGATCTAAGTGGTGGCACTGGTCACCATATCCACTGTTAGCGTAACACACCTGCTTGAAGATAACTAACTGCTATTCAATCTATAACAGTGAAAAAAGTGTTTTTTTTTTTTAAATCCAAGCTATTGTGACACCAGATCTAAGTGGTAGCACTGGTCACCATATCCACTGTTAGCGTAACACACCCGCTTTAAGGACACTGACTGCTATTCAATCTATAACAGTGAAAAAAGTGGGGTTTTTTTTAAATCCAAGCTATTGTGACACCAGATCTAAGTGGTGGCACTGACTGGGGAAATGGGCACAGCATGCACTGTGAGCCTGACACAGAAGCTGGCCTCAGTGGCAGACAACTAAGTGCAATTACATTACATAGAAAAAATTTTTTTTTAAAAGCATACCCTAACCCTAACCTAGCTATGCTTTTCCCTATCTAATGAACAGCAGCTACACTTTCCCTCCTCTTACTAAAGCATGCAGCTTGAGAATGAATCTAAAATGGATGCCTTCCAGGAGGTGGGAGGGTCTGCTAGGCAGGGTGTGCTGCTAATTGGCTGGAATGTGTCTGCTGACTGTGAGGTACAGGGTCAAAGTTTACTCAATGATGACGAATAGGGGGTGGGTCGAACCGCGCATATGTTCGCCCACCGTGGCGAACGCGAACATGCTATGTTCGCCAGGAACCGTTCGCCGGCGAACCGTTCGGTACATCACTATTGAAGAAGCCTTGTGAGGTAAAACGCATTTAAAATTTTAATTTTATTCTGTTTTAATTAATAAAGGAATTTATTTGGCTACTTCTATGTGTTTGCCATATTCCTTTTTATTTATTTTATACTTTTTATTGCCTGACATCTTTACCCACTGCTCCAAAGAGTACTAAAAGAATCCAAAGTGGGGATTATACCACCAGCACCCTTCATATTGAGCAGTGAGCCTGCTCAACCAAATATATTTTGTTGCAATTTTTATCTTTTTAATTGGGATCCCCCTTATTACCATATCATTGGAGGTTTTTGAAACACCACGCATATCCCAGAAGTGGGGATTATACTACTCTACGCCCTAAAAAACAGAGCTGGATTTAGCTCTGGTAAATGTGAATAATATTTACCTCACATATACCTTGATAGAGTTTTGACATACATACTGTACCATTGGAGTCCTTCTTTCTGTTTCTTTATATGTACTATTGGATCTCAAGTTGTGTTTGATCTACGGACTACCATCAACAATTTTGCTGCTTCCCCTACGAATCTACCTCTTCATATGGAGTGTCTCATTTGGACATTTTTATAGTTTATGTACTTTTATCTATAGGCGCTACATTTTCCTCTCCTTTCATCCAAGTCTCTACATTTAGAATCCAACCTGAGTGCTCTAAGTCTGCTTTTTTTTTCACATGCGCAGTGTTAGTCTATTAAACTAAACAAAAGAACTGAAACGAAAATGAATGTATTTGGGCATTTCACACAGCGTGTAAAAGTTCTTTGGAGTTTTACCATGCTGTGCAATTTGACTCATAACCCTCTGATTGGTTGAAAATGTGAAAGAATTTACCTTGATTTCAAGGTTCAAGCTTCTAGGTGACATATTAGATAGCCTATATTAAAATTGTCTAACTTGGACTCAGGAAATACTTAATGCTTAAAACGACACTTAAGACCATATATGTCTAGTTCCGGGAGCAGATAGCCCCCACCTGAGCTGTCTCTCCTAAATGAGTTTGTTCCTTCTCTTTCCCAGAACTTATCTGTTATATGTAGATGACGTTCATCCCTATGTCTTATCTGCACTCCCTCCACCCTTTCACTCCCTTCCTACTACTGTTCTATGAGTATTTGCATATAAGCGCTTACTTTTTAATGTATAAAAAAACAACTGACAAAATAAAGGTCAAACGCTTATTTTGATAACCAACACACATCTGGTGTCTAATTCACGCTTCTCCAAATGCACTTGAAACAATTTGGGTTCCCCTGAATACAACAAAGATCAAATTGGATCTATATCAAAAGCAAACAAATGTCTCATATATTACCTGCAAGGGCCTCATTTGCCAGTGGAGGACTCCCTAGGGGCTGCCTGGCAGTTTTCCTGAAGCGGATGTAAGTTCCGATCTCCCTCATGGGCCGCAAGCTATTACGGTATTCTATGCAACCGCAACAGCTTTAAAGCCCATAAAAATGCAGATGGCATAGAACGCCAAAACAGCTTGCAGCCCAGGAGGGAGATCAGAACTTACCTCCACTGCGATCCGCCCTGGGAGGACTGCCAGACAGTTAAGGTTTTAGACAATTGTACACATTGTACATGACTGGACATAGCCTGGGTTTTCTACTTTTTCAAATGGTATGCCATGGTGGGGTTAATTTTCATTTCTGGGCTGCCATACAGTCTCAAATGCAACATAACCAATCTGGCAAATTTCAATTTGCAAAAACAGAAATAGGCAAGTCTTATATTTGACCCTGTAACTTTCCAAATCCTCATAAAACCTGCACATGGGGGCACTGTTGTACTCAAGACACATTACTTTATACAAATATGAGTGTTTTAGAGCAATCAAATGTATAATACTGATAATATCATTGGTGAAATTATAGTTTATTTGTGAAAAATGCAAAAAAACTGCTATAAATGCTAATTTTGGCCAGGGTTTGTGGCTACTTAAAAAGACAGGATATATACAATATTTAATACCCTTGGTTGTCTACTTTTCCAAATGGTATGCCCTGATGGGGGTAATTTTCATTCCTGGCCTTCCATACGCTCTCAAAGGCAAAAATAATCTTGCAAATGTCATCGTCTAAAAACTGAAAAGGGGAAAAAGCCCTATATTTGACCCTATAACTTTATAATACTGCATAAAACCAATACATGGGGGCTACTGTTACATTCGTGAGATGTCACTGAACACAAATATGTGTGTTTTATTGCAGTAAAAGCTAACAGTATTATGACATTCACAGTTAAAATGCCATGCAGAACTAAAAACATAACCTTTCTTAATTTATCAAAATATTTAAGGTTTTATTCATATTGAATTATATTCTCTCTCTCTCTTTCTCTCTCTCTCTCTCTCTCTCTCTATCTATATATATATATATATATATATATATCAGGAATATTTGATGGGAAATGAAAGCCGTATTTATCCTGTACAAAGTGACATATAGTATGTATGGGTGCACTTAATATGAAAGAGCTAAATTATGATTGAACAGGCATTTAGCTCAAATTCTAGGTTTTGTTTTGATTAGAACTTGTCAAATTGTCTTCAAGGGGTTAATGGGTTAAGTTTGCTTGTATCTTTGTTTACATTATCTTGTAAACAAAGGACTGAAACATTGATGTAATCCATGCACATATTTACCATAAAAGTTTTTTACCTTGTAATTTATGTGTGGACTTTATATAGGCACCTGGCAAAGGTTTATGTTAGTGTCAGACCACAAAAACGCATTGATCCCTATGTTGATTCTATGACTTATAAATAGAAAAATCTCAGGCACTCACTGCGAATTGTATGCAGGCAGATTTATTGCAACGTTTCAACCTGTTAAGGTCTTTATCAAGCTCCATGACTTATACCCCATTCTTCACCCTGACCATCACTAGAAAAGTATTCTTCATTGATTTGGTTCAAAATGATATCACATTTACTTTGATAGCTTTGACATTTTTGCTTTCACTTTTTAGAAACATTATCCTCCACATTTATAAATATGCTATATAAATGTATAAAGCAGTGTATATAAAAGAGAGGTGTTTTCTGAATCTATTGGCTGACAAAATATAAAAGCCGTTACAGCAGCCATTAGTGCTACTTAATTGTACCCTGCATTTAATTGGATTGACATAAAGTAACATCCAATAACCCATAGGTCTTTGAAATAGCACGTATATAATGCAATTTATAATAGAGTCTTAGGTTAATTGACCACTATTGCTAAGCTTTCAGTCTTTAATGGATAAAACTGCCTACTGCTATTTAACATTGTTCCATTATATGATTTATTCTTGAAAGTGTAAATTACTTTTCACAAGCAAATGTGTAATTGATGTAACAAAACGAACATGGTTCTTTTCATTCTCATTCCTCATTTTAAATTGGCACTCCCTTAATAAAAGTTATCTATGCACAAGCACATAGCATTTTAACAACTACCCAAGTATTGACTTAATCATATTAAAAGGGCACTATTTGCACTAACACAAGTTAAAGGGACATATAGGCACGAAAACAACTTTAGCTTAGTGAAACTGTTTTGGTATTTAGATCATGCCCCTGCAGTCCCACTGCTCAATACTCTGCCAATTAGAAGTTAAATCACTTTGTTTATGCAGCCCTAGTCACACCTCCCACATGTGACACACACAGCCTTCCTAAACACGTCCTGTAAAAATCGATCTAAATGTTTAAACTTTTATTGCACAGTCTGTTTAATTTATAATTGCTCTCCTCTAAAAGTCTGCTGGAGCCTCCTTTGTGTGATTAAAGTTTAATTTACAGAACAGGAGATGATAACTTCTCAAGTAAGTTTAAGAGCTGATTAAAAATGAAACCATTTTTTTTTCAGGCATGCTGTGTGAGTCACAGCCAACAGAGGTGGAGCTAGGGATACATAAACATAAACAAAAGTAATCTAACTCTTAAATTGAAGATAATTGATCAGTGAGACTACAGGATCATGATCTATATACCAAAACTGCTTCATTAAGGGGGCGGAGCGAGATGACATAGGACGCAGGGCTGTGTCCTTGTGGTGAGCGGCTGAAGGAGGGACCCGAGCATGTGAGAAGGGGAGAGGAGAGCAGCCGGAGCCAGCGGTGACTGAGATGCTGACCAGGACTCCTTGGTGAGCATAGCGAGGGGAACCCCGGCAACGGACGACCTGAAGATCGAGGTAGGGTTGTGCCACAGATAGGGCAGTGTGCTGTGAGGGAGATAGATCTGCAGGCACCAGACGGCCAAACTGGCAGGGAGAAGACCTCACAAGATAAGTAAAGATTTGCTTTTGAATTTTCTAATTGGAGTACATTAGAGGAAGGAGGCACTATAATTGGAATTAGTGTAATATAACTACCTCTGACATATCTGGGATCTGTAAGGTAGGTCTCCCTAATTTATCAAGGAGTTTCAGGATAAGACTTAAAAAGTCAGCTTTCCATTATATAAACATATAAAAATATATATGTACATATAAATCAGAGACCTATTATCTGTTGGTAATAAAATTTGAGGGGGAGTGAACAACTCCTAACACTTTCATCTAATAAAATAAAATAAAAATAAAAAAGGAGTGTTAAAATAGTAACCCAGGTGGGAAAAGGGAGATAATAAAAGAAAGAAGGACAAAAAGGAATAAGAAAGGAAAGGAGAGGGAAAAAAAAAAAAAGTTAAATATTCCCTGTAGACAAACAACAACAAAAAAAAAAAAGAGAAAAAAAATCACAAAACGAGAAATATGTAAAAAAAGAAAAAAAAAAGGGGGCGGAAAATAAAACAGAGAAAAGCCTTTCTTTTTTTTCCGTCAAATACGACACCAAACAAAATAAATATGGAGCAGACGACTCATTTGAATATTCCACCAGAAGGATCCACAAAAAAAATACTAACAGATGAAAGCCAGGAGGAAAGTCAAGAAAGAGAGCAAATTGAAAGAAAAAGTGAATATGATGAGCTGCTCAAACATCTAGACAGACAATTTCAGGCCCTAAGGGGAGAAATACAAAATCAAACAAAAGACATCAAGATAGACCTCTCCACACTTAAGACTACTGGGAATGGAAGGAAAACTAAAGGAATTAGAACAGAAGGAAACCACTCATAAAAAAGAACATCAGGCCATAGAGAAAAAAATAGAGGGATTGGAGGGCAAATTGATAGAACTGGAGGAACATTCAAGACAGAATAATTTAAGAATCAGAGGTATTCCGGAACAAGTCAAGCAAACAAATCTGGAAGCATACATAGAATAGAATAATTCTTCAGAAATCTGAAGATAGACTGGGACCAGAGAACCCCTATGACTGACAGAGGTCATAGGTTATATAAACCTAAAGGTGTTCCAGAAGTAAAGAGATTTGATGCTGTGCTGTACCTCCTCTAAACTAAAAATGTAAATTTTAAGCGCTATAAGAAAAAATGGATGTCCAGAGAAATACAACACGCTTAAAGTATTCCAAGATCTGTCATGGGCAACTAGACAAAAAAGGAGATCGTTCTCCGCAAACACATAAGTAACTTAAAGATAAAGGATATAATAGGTACTTAAGACTTAAAAAATTTGGCACGGCACTTATCAATATATTGAATAAAAGGAGGTAGAGAAGAGGGGAAGAAGAAGAGAGAGGGGAAGGAAAGGGAAAAAAGGGGAAAGAGAAAAGGATATGTTCACATAAGTAATTTAAAATAAAATATAATACAGACATTCACATATTTTACAAAAAAGGAGAGGTGAAAATAAGATGTAAGAGGGGAAGCACAATAAGGGAAAATTATCACATATAAATAAATGTAGTCAGCATACATGCACACAGAAATAATCTCACAAGGAACAAGGGGATAAATGCTGAAAAAGTAAGCACACATTTGGAGCACGCAAAAGACACTGGTAGAGAAGGAAAGGGAAAAAAAAAAGGAAAAAGGTATTAGCACAGAAGTAGGCCAGGTGGATAAGTTAGGGGAGGGAGGGTAGGGGGAGGAGGGAGAGGAGCGAGACAGAAAGAGAAGAGAAATGGGTGATAACATTTGTTTGCTTCTTTCTTCCACCCCTTCTCTCCTTTCTTTCCTTGAAATATTTATTTATCTATATCTATTTGCTGCACAAACAAATTACATATAATCACCCCGTCTTCCTTTTCTCTCCCTAAAATAGTTTCCCCACTCGCATGGGCCAAGGGTCGCTCACTTCTAGCCTGCCCTTCCCACAGGAAGTGGAACTTATATCTGTGTGATGGTTATCATCACTAGAGATATGGTATGGCGGGTATTAGCCACCATACCTTTCCTTAGTTTTAGGTTGATGCCTATTCATTGGATCAACCCATCCTATTTGTTCATTAACAAAAAGAGTAACTCGTTCCTTGGTTTAAACATAAGTCAGTTAAATCTAATATAGAGAGAGTCTAAAAAAAAATAAAGGATCACTACAAATTAAGTTGATCTCGATAAATGCCCGGGGGATAAACACACCAAGCAAACGATCAATAATTCTAGACTATCTGACCAAGAATCG